TTGGATAATATCCATTATTGTATCTTCAGATCACTGATTTTTTCCTGTTCTAATGCTGCGTCCACTGAACCTTTTATAATGATAATTTAAAAAATTTTCAGTTTAAAAATTTTATGTGGCTCTTCTTTCATCTATTTTGTGAGTTTCTATATTTTTTCTGTAGTTTTTAAGTTTTCACTTAATACCTAAGGTTTAAGGTAGTAATAATTATTTGTTGAGGTATTCTTATAATTACCTGAAAACAGTCATATAATTCTAACATCTTTTTCATCCTATTGTTGGCAGTTATTATCTGTTTTTATTCAGTTTGAGAGCTTCCTGGTGGTTTTCAATTGAAAACCAGATATTTTGGGTATTCCATTACGACTCTAAAACTTACATAAATATTTTAGGCTTTTTTCACTAACACTGTTTCCACTGCCAGCAGGGAATCCAGATTTCTAACTCTGCTTCTAATGAGACCCAGGTGAAGTGAAGGGCTTTTAGTGTTATGTGGGCAGCGGAGTTTAGACTCGCTACTAGGGCTGGAGGGGTAGGTGTGTTTCTACTGATATCATGAGTGGAGATTGCCTATTTACTGCCTAGAAGGGATGAAAGATCTGGTTCCTTGTCTAGCCTCTGATACTACCCCAGCAGGGATGTAGGTGTACCTTGTTATAGCCTGGCAGGGTCAGAAGTTACATCTTTTATTTAAGGCATTGTGGCAGGAGGGGAAATATTTCTAAGAGGTTCCTCTTTTCCTAGACCACCCCTTTTGTGGGCCTATGGATAAGAACACAAAATTCTACTGAAATTATTTAAGTTTATACCTGTTAGCATTTCTGGGTTGCTGGTTTCTCCAGAAACTAAGATCTGGGTGGAAAGGAACTCACTGTTACCTAAGATCCCAAGTCTGACTTCTTTCCATTTTTAGAGACTTCTGTTACATGCAATCTCCAGTTTTGAGCTATAATTTGCAGGAGGGGTACAGAAAGCATGTGTTCACCATCTTCCTGAAAGCAAGTCTTACTTTCTCAGTTTACATGGTCTTCACATATTTTACATTAAGCAGTATTAGAGCATATCACAGCTTTGAAGTGTTTGTGGAACGATGTAAATTACTTTATAATGGGTCTAATAAAAAGCCTCAATATTTCTTGCTGTATCATACTTCATTTTAATATTTATTTATTATGTATTTAGTTGTTACAGGATCTCACTATGCAGCTGAGACTCATGGTGATCTCTTGCTTTCACCTCCCCAGCGCTGAGATTACAGGAGTGCGCCACTATGCCTGGACTCTGGCCTGCTCAGTCTGCCCTGGAGGTGAGGCTGGGGTGGCATGTTGTGCCAGGGATTGAACTGTGGTCTATGTGCTTGCCTAAGCTTGCCTAAGCAGACACTTTATTCTGCTGAGCTATCTCACTGGCCCATGCATTTTAATATCATTTAAACTAAAAATTAGTGTTATATCCTTGGAGTAAATACAAAATTTTTAATGTTAAACACTACCGACTAACAGTCAAGAGAACTGAATTCTAGTTGAGTCTTCCACTGTGCAGTTCTGTGACTTTGGGCAGATCCGTGTGATCTCAGGATTCCCTTCTATTCAGAATGTGGGCTGCATTAGATAATCTCTAAGGTTCCTTTTAGTGTTAACATTTTTGTTTTCATTGTATCAGTTCTACTTTAAAAATACCTACAGCCAGGTGTGGTGGCACATGGCTGTGATCCCAACTTCAGGAGGCTAAGGCAGGTGGATTGTCATCAGTTGGAGGCCAGCCTGGGCTACATAGTAAGGTCAAGGCCAGCCTGAACTACATAGCCATAGCAAGCCTGTCACAAACCAACCAACCAACCAACTTGTGTGTGTATTTATATATCTAGACTTCTTGCAATGGGTTTGAAGTGCTGGTTAAGCCAATAAAAACTCTCAAAATTAGAGAAGACAACTGTAACTTTTGTAACCATGTTCTAGGTATTAGAGTAAAGGGTTTATGGTTAGCATCTCATCTAATCCCCAAAATATTCCACTGAAATAGAGGTTCCATCCATTTTTGTAGATGAGAATGGTGACTAAGATTTTAAAAATTCCAAAATATTTTGTTGTAAAGATGTACCTGATTCAAACCTGTTTGGCTCCAGAGTTGAAATCTGGAACAACTTTCATCCAGTTCTCTCTACTAAATTTGTTTGGCTTTTATTCAAGAAGCAAATTATTTGATAGAAATGGGACATTCAAGCAAAGACTTGGAGTGATTAAGAGATTTTTGCTTTTAATTTATCCAAAAATTTTATTTTTTGATAATGTAAAGTATAAAAACAGAAAGCAGATGCATGCAGTTAGTTCTGCTTATGCTTACTCTGTCACCTACCAGACATAAGAATTATCCTTGAGAGGAAAAGAAATACATTGAGAACTCTAATTGTCATTCCTCAGGAAGTACAATTGAACTTGTCACCTTTCTTAAACTTTACTTCTCAGGACCTCAAAGACACATTACCTTTATGTGCAAATTCTACTCACTCAGAGAATGGATAAGGAATGATTTATAAGATTATATGAACTAATGGAAAAGTAGAGGTCAAGAAGAAATTAAGAAACAATGGAAAAAGAATAAACAGAGCCAAATTTAAAAACTATAAAATAATTTAAGCAGTTTAACACGATACTGGTTCCTAATACTTCATTAAAACACCATGTTTAAGTTAAATTTATTGATACAAAGTAAACTCTTGAATTTTTGGCAATTTGTTGAAATACTATGTTTTATTAGAATCAAAACTGTTGAAATATATTTAATTAAAACTAATTCTATACATCAATAAAGATGCCTGGTACCTAGGTATGTGCCAAAAGACCTAAAGAATTTTTAACATTATAATTAACATGGCAGAATAGCATTATAAGATGCCAGAACTACATTCATCCCAATTTTATCTTTCTCTTTCATTTTTCTGAAGTCTGTTGGTTTTCCACTGGGCTCACTCTGTGACAGTTTCTATGTTAATATCCAGGAGTATTCCTATGAAAGTTATTCAAATTTCCTATTATTTTCAGAATTTACTAAGACAACTAATTGTGATATACAGTTGCTGCAATATCATTTCTTTATAAGGAGTTAGGAAACTTGCTAATAAACTCAAGAATGTTCTGATTATCTGTGCTTTGGGGGAAAATGGTTTTCTCTTTAGAAAGTTACCATTTTGGTAGAGAACAGATTCACAGAATTTTCATTTTTGCAATAAACCTGTTGTATGGAGAGGGCCAGTCTAGTGTAGAGAATTAACTTTCTAATTACTTTTTAGTATTTATTGAAACTAAAAGTGTTATCTAGTTCAAATAAAATATTATCTAACCTTATATAGGACAGATAAAAACTGCTCAATTACGTGTGAGTTAGAAATAGAAATAGAGGTACAGTTTTGTTCCTTGGTCAATCCACTGAATTACAGGGCAGCATAATTGGAAAACCAACCAGTTCATATAAAGATTACTAGGTTAAGGATCTTTAGACCTTGTGCCCCAATCCTGCCATTAATATGATGTGGTAATGAACTTCGAGTCAAAATGTCTTCATCTGTGAAAGAAAGAGACTGAACTAGATCTCTTTAAATTCAAATATTCAAGAAAATTGTTAGTTCTATATGTAAATCAGAATTTTTTGGCAAAATTGTATATTTATTAGAGGGTAAAATTTGCACACCCCCTTTAAAGTTGTAAGTATCAGGATTTTTTCTATAGCCTCGAACTTTAAGAACAATCTACAGATCTGGTAGAGTGCTTGCTCGGTAGGAGGACCCAGGGTTTGATCCCTGGCATGAAAGGAAGCAAGCAAGCAAGAAGCAAGCAAGCCAGAGAAAGAAAGAAGAAAAACCACCTTTAAAGGAAAGAGTGCTGAGAAAACTAGTATCAATAAAAACCATAAAGCTACCCTTTTCTAGCCAATTTCAACATTTCTTTTACTCCATTTCAAATAATTATTGCTTTCTCATTGTTTCATTCAGCAGACACACTGAATACACTGTCATTCACAGATACTGAGTTCAGTTTGGAACGCAAAAAAGACGACAAAACAACGCCCTGTCAAATACAAAAAGATCAGGTGTCCTGAACATGCACCATCCGACAGAGCCTGTTGATGGTGACGCTGCTGGATTTCTAATGATCGGGATGGTTAAACAAATGGGTATCTTTAAAAAACCAAATGAAATATGAGGTAGTACCCAAATAGAACTATGTATATAATTCTATTTTCTTTAGGCAGAGTTGCTTTGTTGTAATTGATCTTTGATCAACTTGAGTGAAGAACGTTTAGTTCCATGGAGTATGGAAGGCTCTGCTTCCCTTATTAAGCATCTCTCCAACAGAAGTTTCACTGGCAGGGGGAAGCTTTTCTCTCCAGTTCCACCCACACCACCCGAGTGTTTACTGACTTCTTGCAATGGATTGGGGGTCAGGAGAGCGAAGTCTTGAACGAAGATGCCAAAAGGGGCCTCTGAGGATTTGGAAGGTAACCGTGAAAGCCACAACCCCTGTAGACTTAAACCCCAGATGGGACTTGGGCAGGTCTTTGGCTGTCTCCTTTTGTTATTCAGGCTGGTAGGTCTCCCAGTTCCATCCACACCCGCAGACCCACTCCCCAAGATGAAGCTGCCATCCACCTCCAACTCTAGGCATGGCCACCCCCCCACCCAACTGTTGACTCTTGTCCAAGACCACCACCATCACCCACCCAATACTCTCTCCCAGGAACTGGCCTCTCCCCCCCAGTCCCCGCCCCTCTTCTGAGAGCACCCAATGGGTGGAGCCGGGGCGGCGGTGGGCGGGGCTTGAGGCAGGCCCATTTAAAGAAAGGCAGAGGGCGAAAGGAGGAGAGAGAGGAGAAGAAAGAGAAACCTGGGGGTGAGGCGCCGTCCAATGACAAAGCCCAGGGGTGGGCGCCGGCCGCCATCTTGATCCGGGCAGCCCGAGCTCCGCGGCGTCCTCCACCCTTGGTGGGGGAGGGGCGGCGGCCGGCCGAGAAAAGTAGCGAAGACGCGCGGCGCGAGAGGCGCCGCTCAGTCGCCCGCGCCGAGCCGGACTTGGGCGGCGACGGCCCGGATCGGCCTCCGATGCGGCGCAGCGTGAAGAGGCGGCGGCGCCGGTCCCCGGCCGCCCAAGGCGACGGCTTTGGGGCGGGAGGAGGGGCCGCGCCGGACGCGCGAGAGGAAAAGGTGGTGTACTCGCGGTCGCAACTGTCGCTGGCCGACAGCACCAAGGCGCTGGGCGACGCCTTCAAGCTGTTCATGCCCCGCAGCACGGAGTTCATGAGCTCGGACGCGGAGCTCTGGAGCTTCCTCTGCAGCCTCAAGCACCAGTTCTCCCCGCACATCCTGCGCAGCAAGGACGTCTACGGCTACTCCTCCTGCCGGGCCCTGGTGCCCGACCCCCCGCCGCCCGCCGCCGCCGCCCGCCGCCGGCCCGGCCCTCGGTCGCCCGGTCCCCAGGGGGCGTCCGCCGCCCGCCGCCGGCCCTCGCGCCAGTGGCCGGGCTCGCCGCATCCCCGCCTCCGACTCACCGCTTTGAGATCCAGGACGCCGTCCTTGGCTTCCTGCAGCAGCGACACGAACTTGGTGGTGAGCAGCCCCAGGCTCTTCTCGTGCCTGCTGCTGCCGCCCGCGACGCCCCCGAGCGGAGGCGGCGGGGTCGGCGTCTGTCCCGGCGGGGACTGCGCCTGGGGCCGCTGGCCCTGTCCCTGCGGCGCCGGCTGGCCCGAGCCCGCAGGCTCCGC